GGAACCTGCTTCAGACTCTATGTCTCCCTCTCTCTCTGCCCCTCCCCCATGTTCACATGCTCTCTCTCTCTCTAAAAGAAACATTAAAAATATTTTAAGAAAATAAAAAAACTTTCAAAAAATATCACACTATTTCACAGGTAGTATGAATACTCTGTAATAACAAAATAATCATAACTCTTCTCTCCTGTCTCTTATGTCATTCTGTCATTCCTTTCATTTATACATAAGTATATACATGATACACACACACACACACACACACACACACATATATATGTACATAAGCATATGTAATCAAATACAGTGTTGCTACTTTGATTTTGAACAAACTATTCAGTTAGATAAATTAGGAATAAGAAAAATAAAAGTTTTATTTTACCTTCAGTTATTTCTTCTCCCATGTTCTTTTCTTTATATAGATTTGAGTTTTTGACCTACATACTTTTCTCTAAAGAACTTCTCACAAGGGCAGGTCCACTGGCAATAAATTCCCTCAGTTTTTGTTTGTCTGAGAAAGTCTTTATTTCTCCCTCATTATTGAAGGATAATTTTTCAGTATACTTAATTCTAGGCTGGTGGGTTTTTTTTTTTTTTTTTCCTCTCCATATTTGGTATATTTCACTCCACTCTCTTCTTGCTGGCATGGTTTTTGAGAAGTCAGGTGTGATTCTTATTTTTGCTCCTCTGTAAGTATGATATTTTCTCCCTCTGGTCTCTTTCACTGTTTTTTTATCTTTGATTTTCAGCAGTTTGATATGCGTAGGTAGTTTTTTATTTATTTATTTATTTTTCGGCATTTATCTTAGTGTTCTCTGAACTTCCTGTATCTGTGGTTTGGTGTCTGACATTAATTTAGAGAAATTCTCAGTTGTTATGTGTCAAATATTTCTTCTGTTCCTTTCTTTCTTCTTCATCTGATATGCCCATTATACATATGTTATACCTTTTGTAGTTCTGTAGTTATCTTACAGCCCTTGAATATCCTGTTCTTTTTTTTCCCTCAGTCTTTGTTCTCTTTGCTTTTCAGTTTTGGAGGTTTCTATAGAAATCTTTAAGGTCAGAGATTCCTTCCTCAGCCATGTTCAGAGTACTAATTAGCCTATCAAATTATTTTTCATTTCTGTGATGGTGTCTTTGTACTCTAGCATTACTTTTTGGTTCTTTCTTAGACTTTCTATCTCTCTACTTACATTGCCCATCTGTTCTCTGTTCTTACCTTCTGTCTGCTTAATCCATTAGAGCCCTTAGTGTATTAATTAGTTCCAGCATCCCTCTATGCCTGAGTCTGGTTCTGATGCTTACTCTGTCTCTTCAAACTGTATTTTTGATTTTTGTTGTTTTGCCTTTGGCATATGTAGTAATTTTTTTTTTTGATAGCCAGACATGATGTACCAGGTAAAAGGAATTGCTATAAATTGGCCTTTAGTTATGTTTTAGTATGGTTTGGGGAAAAGGGAAGCAGTGTATAGTCCTATGATCCTATTATAGGGTCTCAGTCCTTTCAGGAGGCTGTACTTCTAGATTGTGAACTCTGTATGTGTGTCTCCATTTTCCCCTTTCCTCCTTAGGTAGGACAGGATCGCTAGAGAGTGCTGGAGTTGGGAATAGTATTGGAGCACAATACCGTAATTTATTTAACCAAACCTCTTTTGCTGTACATTTATCTTTAGTTTCTATCTAATTGAACAAACACTATAATGAACATTCTCAGAGCTAAATCTTTTTGCACATCTCTGATTTTCCTAGGGTAGAGTTAGATCAGTGGATATGCAGGCTTTGATCTTAGAAATTGCCAAACTGCCTGCCATAAATGTATATCTCCACCCAAAATAATTAAGTGCCTATTCCGTGCATGCTGACCAGCACTGTGAGTTGGCTTTATGTTCTTTGTTTGCTAATTTGATAAGCAAAATAGAACAAAGAAGAAAGAGAGAGCTCTTGTTGTTTACAGTTGTATTTTCTTATTTGTGAGGTATAACTTTTTATTTAAAAAAAAAATTTTTTAACGTTTTATTTATTTTTGAGACAGAGAGAGACAGAACATGAACGGGGGAGGGGCAGAGAGAGAGGGAGACACAGAATCGGAAGCAGGCTCCAGGCTCTGAGCCATCAGCCCAGAGCCTGACGCGGGGCTTGAACTCACGGACCGCGAGATCGTGACCTGAGCTGAAGTCGGCCGCTTAACCGACTGAGCCACCCAGGCGCCCCAACTTTTTAAAATATGTTTAATGGCAATTTGCTTTTCTTTTTTTTGTGAGATGTATTGCTCTTAGCCTATTTTTCTTTTAAGACATTTTTTTTGTTCTATTGTATATTTAAGTCTTTATATAATATTAATATTAAGTCTTTGTCATATATCCTCCAAGTATTTTGCTAGCTTATTTTCGTTTTTGTTTTTGCTGTTTTTATCATAGAGGATTTCATTTTTCTGTAGCCAGATTTTTGTTATCATACTTCAAAAGAACTTCCCCAGCTCAAGATTACACATCTATTCATATTTCCTCTTGGGCATTCAAGACTTTTTTCTAACATTTAAATTTTTAATATTTATGTAATTAATTTTGGCATATGTAGTATTAGAAAATTTTTTTTAAATAGCCAATTTTAATCACATTTTCTAACTTACTATTCCTGGTAGATGAGTGAACCAATGATTTTTATGTATTTATTTTAAAATTAGCAGTATTTCAGGGGCGCCTGGGTGGCGCAGTCGGTTAAGCGTCCGACTTCAGCCAGGTCACGATCTCGCGGTCCGTGAGTTCGAGCCCCGCGTCAGGCTCTGGGCTGATGGCTCAGAGCCTGGAGCCTGTTTCCAATTCTGTGTCTCCCTCTCTCTCTGCCCCTCCCCCGTTCATGCTCTGTCTCTCTCTGTCCCAAAAATAAATAAACGTTGAAAAAAAAAATTAAAAAAAAAAAATAAAATAAAATAAAATAAAATTAGCAGTATTTCTCAAATTTACTTATTCTAATTTTTAGTTGATACTGTTTTTTCTAGGTAAAGAATTGCATACCTTCTTTCTAGTATTTATGTTTTCTGTTTTATATTCTTTTATGTCTTTGGCTCCAATTTCTAGACCAGTTCTAAGTAATAGTATGGATAATACAGTATTTTCTTTTTTAAAAAAAACAAAAATTAACCTGGTATTATCTTCTTTTTAATTTTAAAAAATGAAATGTCTTTTTTTGTGTGTTATTTTGTTGTTGCAAAAGCTCTGACATGTATGAAGCCTTCAATTACCTTTCCCTTTGCATGATCAGCAAAGTATTAGGAGCCTCCCTTTGGCTGAATCTGAGTTGAGTTCATCACAGGCTCATGACTCTTTTGGTTGTGAATTTGTAAGGTGAGCAAGGCATGGGATTTTAGGGGCACTCTCTGTACATCTCTCCTCAAGCCAGGTGGCCACTTTGTCCCTAATGGTTACCAGGAAATCCCATACATTCGTCCCTTATTGATACCATTCTGTAGCCTGAGAACCAACTACCCTGAAACACGTGCAATGATATAATTCCCTTATTGCATTATTCTGGCTTGTATAAGTTAGGAGAAAAAATATTCTAAAGTCACAGATCATTTTGTTATTTGGAATTTTTCAAAGCTGTTATTTGGGAATGAGGAGAGAGAAAATGAGGGGTATGATCGCTCTTAGACTCTACTTTATACCCCTAGGTGAGGAGAGGTTTGGAACAGACCATGGGGGAGTGTCCCATGACAGACACTTATCCTTGCTTTTCCCCTATCTGTGTTCCATGAAAGGCACATTCCATTCACATTAGATCACTCCACCTTGACCTAGATGAATATCCCAAAACTGTGTGGTCCCTTAGCTTATAGGGAAGCCAGCTTTTCTGGTAATTCCATGAAGTGTACTGGCCTAAAATGTCCCTCTGACCTGAGAGAAGCCTACAAGTCCCGTATTATTGCTTCACATTAAAGTATTGAAGACTCATTGGAAAGGCAGATGGTACCTTCAGATTCAGTAGGGGTTACCCCATTAAGCTGGCCATCATCTCCTTAACACAAGTCCCAGAGAGTCCAGCTGGTCTCCTAGCAGATTGTTGAGAGACAAATGACAGGGAGGTTTGATGTGGAGGGGCAGGGGGAGAGGGTGGTTAGGCTAACAGTCTGTGGAGTGTTCTATTATATATTCTATGTATTGAAGGAAGGATGGATATTGGAAAGGGAACAGAAGCTGACCACAGATCCTTGGTGTAGGTGCCAGTTTTGCCTGTGGCATCCCTGTCCGGCCTTCTTGATGCTAGCCGCTGCCCATGTTGTCTCTTTTCCCCAGTCTTCTTTCCTGATGGCTTCCACCTTTTGCTCTTCATCACTGCTCCATGCTTTCTTTCTCTCACCCTCTTCTCTGCACCCCCTGTCATTTGTCCCTGTAGCTCCTGGCACCTGTGAAGCCACCCTGGTCATGTCCTTCCTCACAACTACTAGTCTGCCAGTCTTCCCAGAAAGCTCCTCTTCCTCTGTGCTTCATGCCTCTTCCTTTCTCTTTCCATCTGTTTCCACTTTGTGCATCTATACTTGGCATTGTCTGCATTGCCAAAGAATTTAAGAGGGTTATCCAAAGCTTTTTGTACACGACTCTAAATAAACGGAACTGTATTCGGTCATTTTTTGTTCATGGATGGCGCCAGAAACTTAAAAAGCTTTATACTTCGCTGAATTTATTTTTATTCAAAATAATTTTATCTCAGTAAATAAATAATAGGAACATGAATTTTAAAATACTAGCTATATTATAAATTGCCAAGCTCTTCCATTTGCAGATTTTTGCAACTATAATCAATATATAAGAGAGAAAGAGGGAGGTCCTGGGTGAAGATGTAAGGGCGGACTGTTTTCGTATGTCAGATCCCAGAATGGATAATAAACCATTCTTTGCATCCTTGCTTAGGATCTTTTCTGAGCTTCAGCAGTACTGACTGGTCTCCATTTTTGTTGTGTGTGTTTTGTTGCGTGTCCACGTGCATGTGTGTGGCGACCCCAGGATGAGATCCTGACTGTCATCAGAAGAGTGGATGACAACTGGGCAGAAGGCATGCTGGGAGACAAGATTGGGATCTTCCCCCTGCTGTATGTGGAGGTAAGGTCATGCTCTCAGATACACTTCCTCTTCCACCCTGCTGTCTGTTTCACTAGACAGGTGGGGTTGTGGGGGTGGACTCCTGGCCTAGGACCCCTTTCCCAAGAGAAGAAGATGGGGACTGCATTGGACTTCTGTGCCAGTGCTATGAGAATTGTCTCAGTCCCTCAGGTTGTGTGTCCCAGGCCTGGCTGCAGACTATCTTACCGTGTGGGCAGGGAAGGAGGGTCTCCCCAGCCCCAGAGGAGAAGACAGCCTTCCCCTGTCACTGCAAACATAGCTGAAGAATGCTGGCTCTGGTGGGCCGTTTGTGGTCCTCATAGGACTCGCGTGACTGGGCAGCTTGTCCAACTGGGAGTCCTTAAAGCAGAGATGATTTGGGGCCTGTTAATTTCCTGTCTCCTTTCTGTAACTAAGGAGCACTTTGTTTCCAGTGCATAAGTTATGGGCAGTGGCTGAGCCGGGAGCATCTTAGAATGTTTGCCCTGGAAACCCGTTTGCTGTGGGCTATTTGTGTATGTGCAGGAGTATTTGCCCATCATGTGCGAGTGTGCTGTTTGTCAGTACAAGTCATGTGTGTACGCCCATGAGCCAACACACCCTTCATCTATTAATCACTGCAGTTATCCATACAGTTCTTTCAGCTAATGCATACTGCGTGCTCGCTGCATGCGAAACACTTCTAAGTACTTTCTCATTTAATTTTCTCAACACCCTAGGCATATGAAAGCCAGGAATGTCCCCACTTTACAGATGAGCCAATAGAGACAGAAAGTTCTCCCAGCTGCTAAGTGGAACATGAGCACAGGCCGGTTGCTCTAGACTTAGCCCTTTACTGCCCTGCCCCTGAATGCCCCCCACTAGCAAACTGTAGTTCACTCAGCCTGTTGTGGGGCTCCGTGTGCTGGTAGGTGGCACGTCTAGCTTTGCCACACCTACTGAGCTGTGTGTGGGTGCCACTAGGTGTTTGTTAAACACATCTGCTGATTCCTTTTTCATATAGGATAAAGTTCAAATGCTATTGTAAGGCATTCATGATTCATAGCCTGCAAAGGCTAGATGTTTTGCTAGCCTCATCTCTGGTCATTTCCTCTCCTTTCCCTAAATGCTCTGGACTAGTGGTTCTCTCACGTTAATTTTGAATAGACTGCCCAGGAGATTCTGAGGCCATCTTATGCAATAACAGTAAGCCCACACACGTACACACACACACACACACACACACACACACACACACACACAGTGCCCACACTCAAATATACATGGACTCATACACACTCTGACACACACTCTCACACACACATCCACACCTTTCCCTAGTACACTGTAAGAGTCAAAATTCCCCAAACACCTTGTAAGCTTCCATTTGTGCATTTGCTTCAGTTTCCAGGGGGATGTTCTTCTTTATCCTGCAGCTTAAGATCAAAGAACCTGATGCATGAGTAACACTTATAGTGCAGTCTAGCAGTGAAAAACTTGGCCTCTCAGACATCTGTAGCAGTGGAACTATTTTTCCCCAGGCAGACTTCTAAGGATGCTCAAACACATATGCAGAAATGCTTACAGAAACTTTGTTATGATGGCCCCAAACTGGAAACAATGCAGATGTCCCTCAGCAGTGGGATGGATAAATGAAGGATGGTATGTCCATACGATGGAATACTATCCAGCAGAGAAAATGAACAAAAGACTATTGCATTTAAAAGCATGGCTGAATCTCACAGACAGATCTTTTGAAAGAAGCCAGACACAAAAGAGTACATATGATTTTCACTTTTAGGAAGTTCAAAAGCAGGTAGAACTATTCCAGGGTGACAGAAAGCAGAGCAGCTGGGCCTCTGTGGGGAGACTTACGGGAAGCAGGGAGAAGGAGGCCTCTGGGATGTGGAGGTGTTTGAAATCTTCATCTCAGGAGGTTAACAGTTATGTGCAGCCGTAGAGTGATGCACAGTTAACATTTGTGCATTTTTCTTTAAAGCACCGTTTAAGAAACTAAGATAAAACCTCATAAGGAGCCCCAAGGCAGGTCACACTGGCACCCCCTGCAGAAGGCCAGGTTAGCCCCAGCAGCTTCCACCCTCTGGAAGGGCTCAGGCATTGTCAGGGAGGTTGAGAGCTTGGGCTCAGGACTGGGAAACCAATCAGTGGGGCTCTCTGAGTGTTCTCCTTAGTTCCAAAGACTTACTCAAAGGGCAGACTTCCTGAGGCCCAGCCACAAGAGACACGCTTTCAAATACTTCTCCCTTGAGGACATAGGTAGGCTCCTGCATCCTTCTGCTCAGAAGCCCTCCATGCCCCACACTTCCAGTGACAGTCCTGCCTCAACTCTGAACATGGCTGTCTTACTCCTTTGTGTGTTTCCTCAGATAGGATGCCCTGAGGGCCCTTGAGGCTCCAGTGCTAGGCTCTTCCCAGGAGCAGTAGCAGAGCATGCCTGGAGTAGCCATGGGCAGGGGACTTGCTCCTCTGGGTCGTGCTCCTTCCTGGACAGCACTGTGGCCTGTGCAGAGCCTATCCCCTCACCATGACCCTAAGGAGCCCCAGCCACAACACCCCTGAACTGCTCTGGAACAGACTCCTGGCTTCTCACTCAGCAGCCAGTGAAGACAAGATGCCCCAAATGGATATTTCCTGAGATGGTGTTTCACTGTTTCTATATCAATTCCCTTTTAAAGTACTTGAGTGGCTCTGACCCCATCATAGCCTTGGAGGTAGATTCCAGGGCTTACAGAGTTCAGGCTGTCTTCTCTCCAGGAAGCTGAGCAGGCCTTTGAGATCTGAGTGATTGGAACTCCAGTCTTCTGCAGGGTTTGAACCTGAGCTTCCTATCGGGGCAGTTCCTGCCCTCATGCTTGACCCAGATGGATCTGTAATAAGTGAACGAGGACTTTTTCTCTGTAGATTATACAGTCTTCTCTTAACCAGGACTGTTTCTTCACCCCGGGCTTGCCAAGTAGGCACAGTGGGACGGATGGTATAAAACCCGGGTGCAGCTGGCCTGGCATGGCCTTGAGCTACTGGCAGCCTGTCTTCTGAGAAGGTGGTCCTGTCTCTGGAAATATCTATACCTCTGGTGTACTGCAGAAATAACCCTGTCATCCACACTCCCCATAGTGCCCAGGGGCCTGGCTGCCACTGTATCCCCATTGGTGACCTGAGCCCACTGGTCTCAGGCACTGACTGCCTGCACCTGGCTCCTTCACCCTCAACTCCTCACCACTCCTGTGCGACTTCCCTTCCCCACCTTTGACCTCCTTGATGCCTTTCCAGCTCCTCTTCCTACTTTCTCCGCCACTGGTCCTGCATCTTGAACCTGCCTCCATGTTCTTTTCTCCCCCTTTGTTCCATGAACAATCACTGTCCAGCAGCCATCTTCATACCGGGACAACAGCACATATCAGACACCTGCCTCTTTGTTAGGATGACTGCTGGGCAGGGCACTCTCACTGGTGTCTATCCAGGACAGAGAGAGGAGCTGACATTGCTCTTGCCCTTGGGGAATAACCCCCAAAACATGACAGTGACATGGCCTTCCTTATGTGCCTCAAGTCCTTAAGGAGGCAGAATAATTGTCATCATTTTCATTTTTCAGAATGGTTCAATCTCAGAGAGTTCCTCAGGCCCAGGGGAACCCTCCTCCTCTAGGTGGGAGCTCAGCATTGTCTGCTGTGGGTAAATGTACTGTAGGAACACACGTGGCACTCTGCCCTTCTCACATCCTGGCATGGCTGGGTCTGGCTTTGCTGTTCCACCCTGCAGCATGAGTACCCCAACTGGGGATCCTGCATTCTCCTTTTCCATAGGCTCCAAGATGGCATGCTTGGCATTTGCCCTTAGCATGGACCTCAGGTCATCCCTGTAGAGCAGGGCCTATTTCTCACGGGCCATGGCAACCCTAGTGGCAGGACGTGACTGGGACTCAGGGCAGCTCAGAGCATCATGGGCTTCAGAGGTAGACCCCACTGGGCTCAACACCATGCATTAGACATGTGAATTTTGGCATATTTCTTAACATTTCTGAGCCTGTTTCCTTGCTCATCTGAGGGCAATAACATGGACCTCATGGGGATAGTTGCAAGGCTTCAAGAACAATAACAGAGTGCACAGACCAGATCTGGCATTAGGTAGGTTGGCAAGGGCCATCTGTGTTGTTGCTCTGCTATTGTATGTTGAATGAATAATTGCACATTGGTCCATTCATGTGTTTACTGAAGATCTCTGTGTCATTCCTGAGCATTGACCATATTTGGCCTCATATTTCTGAGAGTTTTCTCACAAGTGCTCATTTTCACTCCTCAGCAGGGGTGGGAGCTTTTTGAAGGTAGGTGTGCCCCTATTTCTGTGCAGGTACAACAGCCCCACACTGGTCAACAAGACAAGTGGTGCAGATATTCCCATGCTGCATGATAGGAGAGGTTGCTTGCTAGAAAGCTATTCTTTTATTTTATTTTATTTTATTTTATTTTATTTTATTTTATTTAAAAAAATTTTTAATGTTTTTATTTATTTTTGAGACCGAGAGAGACAGAGCTTGAGCAGGGGAGGAGCAGAGAGAGAGGGAGACACAGAATCCAAAGCAGGCTCCAGGCTCTGAGCTGTCAGCACAGAGCCCGACACAGGGCTCCAACTCACAGACTGTGAGATCGTGACCTGAGCTGAAGTCAGAAGCTCAACTGACTGAGCCACCCAGGTGCCCCTAGAAGGCTATTCTTGAAGTGCGTTCCTGGGAATCAGCTTCAGTCTGGAAAGACACCGAGACAGGACACAGGACTGTGTTCTGCCTCAATGGGGGGTTTGCGTGGAGACATAGAAGGAACATTAGGTAATCTGCCTGTGATGCTTGTCTGTGAGGAAAGCCTGTCCGTGGGGCTGGCACTAAGACCCAACATCTATAATAAGCTGCAGACACAGTTTAAAAGAATGAACATGCAGTGAGCACAAGTGTCAGGTTCTGCCTTCGCACTCTGAAAATCAGTTGTCGAGGCAGAATGAGGGGGAGA